CAAACACTCCCTTTATTATCTTTTCCCTCAAGTGCAAAAATACTTTCATGTACCAACAGCCATATTAACATCCCTGGTTAAATATAAAGGAGTATTCTTGTGAGATCAAAAACTTTAAAAGAGCGATAACAGAGTATGAGTTTCTGTCCCAGATTTGCAGTAAACTCCGTGCCTGTGCTTGCTGCTTTGGGGACCTTAGAAAGTTCCTACCTACCAGTTCTTCAGCATTAACAGCACACAGTCACGTGAGAAACAGGAGCTCCAAGTATCAATCTCGCTTTTCATAATGAAAATTGTCTCTTTTCTCTAAGATAATAGCTTAAAAATGGGTCTAGCACTGTGCTTATTTTCAGGTTATTTCTCAGTTCTTTTAAATTGGTGCTTTAGGTCAGCAAGTGTATAATAACTATGAATACTTGGCACTTAGGTTGCATAGTTAATGTATGTCAATATCCATGCTCTACCACTGGAAAACTAATTCACACACAGAAGGTGAGGAGCCTTAGCCAAAGGTCTCCCCACTTCTGTAGAGGTACCTTGAATTACTTACAGCTGAAGAAGTATTTTGGCCATTGGTTTCCTTACTGGGCCCCATGAGCCAATGGTATGGGCTCTGCAGAACCATATGAAAACATGTTTTCAGGTGGAATTTTAATAACAGGGTACAGCAAGTTTTGAGAGTTGACTACACTCCAGTGGTCCAAACTGTTTGGAAGCTACTGTCCTAGTTTTACATTTATGATTACAGAATCACCAAAGTGCTCCCAGGTGCTTTACAATGGCACAGCTGCGTTACCAGTGCAATCCAAGTCACAGCTCAATGAATAAGCCAGTTCAGCGGCGTATTTGTTCATCCAGAGGGCAGATCTCTCAAGGTTTTATATGCAGGGTTTTATATGCTTCCAACCAAACCTCCAGATGGCCAGGAGCAGGATGAGCACCTGTGCAGGTGTAGCAAGGGAACATGCCTTCTAGCAGCACTCTCCTGAGGCAGAAGTGTCCCTTGGAAGTGCATTTCTCTTTGTCTCCCTCCTGTGTGTCCCATATCAGATCTAGCTGGTGAGCAAATCACAGAGGAGTGTAACCAGGTAGGGCTGAGGTGATTGTACGGGTCACATTTTCAGCACATGGAACTGAAAGGCCTGCAGTGGGGATAGAAATGAGGCACCAAGAAAATGAGACATCAAAGGCATAAATACAAAAACATATAAAAACAATGGCTGAAATCTTGGCTGATAGGCAGGTGACTCTTGAATTACGTGTAGGTCTTAAGGAGTTCAAGTGCAGCTCCTGCATCAAAGCTCCATTGTGAGCATTTGGGCAATCTGAACCCCAGCTGTGAGATGACAGGAGCCAGCTGGTGCTCTTGAACCCAACATCGGTGGGCTGTCTGCAGGTCAAACACACACGCAGACCCATTTTTGCAGTGGTGAACTGGTGTCCCTGATGCAGCCTGCTCACAGAGATTTCCTTTGCTCTTTGGAGATAGATGGCATATGTGGATTCTGGTCATGTGAAGATTGTGGTATAGTGTTCATAGACCCAAGGCACTTGGTGAACTTCTTTTCTTTGAAAAGAAGTGACTCAAAAATAAATCCTCTTGGTCTTGTTCACACAGTCAGCAGGACTATTTTGTCTGAGAAAGAACTGTGAGGAGCTGGATCCAGGTTTCCTGCTCAGTGCAGTCACACCTATTCAGAGTGTGAAGTACTTGCTAGCCTGGAGCAGTAATAATTCACATTTATGTTGCTCAGATACTAATGACTTGACAGCGTCAAAAATAAATAAGGACAATGAAAACTCTGACCAGGTTGATAGCTTGTTGACACTGAGGGCTCAGCAAAAAGCTGCCTGCGTTCCTCCAGCTCTGGGGCGAATGGGTTCATTCAGCCCATGGTGAAAATCCCAGTAAGTCTGCCCTGGCCACCTGCTGTAAAGGCCCCAGGTCATTATAGGAGACCAGAATGTCTTCTTCTTCCTGTCCTGGTCTTGTCCCTCCATTGAGGCTTTGAAGATGGTACCCAGAGGAGACTGACACACAACTCCTCATTGTACAGGAGGAGAATCACAACAGTTTTTTTTTCAAGGGGACATGATTCGGCAAGAGGCTCTGGGCTCCTATTTTCACCGTGGTACCCAAGGAAGATGCATGGTCTTATTTACTTGGCTGAGGCATTTGACTCTTTTCAAGGAATTCTCAGCGATGCCAAGAGAAGTCTACTACACACACTACACACCACTCACAAGAGCAGTCTACTACAGCTCCAATGGGGAATACCACGCAAAGCCTAATGCTACTTTCCACGTATTCCATTAATTGCTCTTATTTGAGATCTTGCCAAAAAATCCTAGATGGCATTAATCCAGTCCAGCACAGTCACTTTCTAGCCCACTCTTTTTCTGTTTCCTTGTAATGTGGATTTTACAGCATGCAATACATTACACTTTCATAGCATGTTTAAGTCTCCATTTTTACTTAAATTCCATACTCCCAACGTAGCTTGTGAGAAAGAAACCCCAACCAACACAGGAGCTCCACCTTGCAACTCTCACTTATGAGAACCTCCCTTGTGAAGCCACTGAATACTGATTTCAGAATTTGTTCAAAAGAGCCTCCTGTACAGTTCTAAGCCTAGACAGGGACTGTTTCTATTTATATATAGACATAGACACATACACACAATACATGGCCCATAAGGTAGATTCCCAGCAGATCTTTCCAAATCCAAATGTGTGCACATTTAATCAGTTAAAATTTCTACTTTTTTTTTTTTTTTTTTTTTTTTTTTTTTTTTTTTTTTTTTGCAGTTCAGTAGATGTTCAGTTGTCCAGCTGCCAGGTTTTGCTTGGGTTGTTGGAGTATACTGGTAATCAGTTCCCTCTGTGTCTCATACATCAAAATAGTACAGCTGGAGACTAGCCCACATCTCATTACTTCCCAAAAGCTCCACATTAGTTGCCCTTGAGCCTGATCAAAAATATTGCCCAGAAGTAGCACATTTTATCCCACGGAATACTCAGATTCTCTTTTCTTCTATTATATTTCAAATTAGAGAAGCTTTTTCTTAGGCGAGAAAAAAGAACCAATAAAAATATCTTATGTTCTCTGAAAAGCAGGAGATTGGTACCAAAGACGTTAAATTTTACCAGTGTCTGTGACAGCTGTTCTGTGGAGAACATAACAAAACCTAGTGATTTGAAATTAGGTGCAGTTCTTTTTTTTTTTTTTTACTGTAGCCATGAGTGTTACCAAACAACTGCACTGGTGAAAAAAACATCTGGTAACTAAGGGAGCTAAAAAATGCATCCTTTGAGCTTAAAAGGAACTATGTTGCTCTGTGACATTTATACATATTTATAAACATAACTCCAGTGCTGACAGGAGATTAAAAATTACAAATAAGCTATCATAACGATCAAACATTACAAATTGCAAGGTCTTTTCAGGGCAAATTTCGTGTGCACAGTGGAACCCAGGGCTGAAGGACCTGTTCACATCAGCATTGGTGTGAATTGGCTAAACCGCTTGAAGTGATTTAGGATGTGATTTCAAGCCCCTTCCTGCTTCCATTTAAAGCAGAGTCAAAGCTCTGGCTCTCTAAAGAGGGCTGGGATGCCTGTGAAAGCATGAACCACCTCGCCAGGGTGCCTCCAGAGATGTCTGTAAAGGTGAGAAAGGCAGGTGTGGAAACTACCCAGCAAATCATACAGATGAGTGTTTTATATTCATCATCCTGTCATGGAGAACTAGAAAACTCTGGAAAACTCCTGAATGGCTTTGTCATTAACATATGATGGATCTTAAACATGTATGTCCAGTTCTAAAACAGTAGCAAGCTTTAAATATAGAAAGGTGTTTTCTGTTTCCTTTAGGATCCCTATTAGGACAAAAGCACACCAGTCATACGGCTGAAGTATCTTCATTACCACTACATGTAATTCTACATAAACATGTGCCACCTTTCCTAAGAACCGGAAAGGAATAGATGGAAGACTGGCAGCACCATCTCCTGGCAGATATAAGAAATAGGGACCACTTTGTGTTAGCAAGTAGGGCCAAGTAATTTCTTTGTGGATTTTAAAAAGACTGTAGCAGGAAGTAACTTCACAAGAGTATATTCCCTCCCTGGGAACATTAACTTTGATATGCTTCAGGGAAGAAAAGCATTATGTGTTATTATAATTATGGAGAACACATACTCACAATTATAAAGAACAAATTCAGGTTGCTTCTGCATTTAAAAAGCGCTCTCATGTTGGCTTCTCTGCTTTCCTATATATTGTTGTAATAGCAGATTTCAAAATCAGCACAGCAGGTAAGTTAGCCCAGTTGCAGTGTATTAGCGTAGTCCTGGAAGACCATAGAAGACCATAGATGTTCCCTGTAGTCAGAAAATAATGGAATATGTAGATTGCAAGAGTTGTAGTGAAGCTTCTGTCTTGCTGAGTAGGTAGAGGAAATAGAGGGAAAAGACTATTAATACTGTAAACTGATGGATGATTAATATGGAATGCTGCTATACATATTTAGAAGGTGACAATGGGTAAAAAAGCAGTAAGAGAGGATGAGGCCTCTGGAGTAATGAAAGGCTGTATGTCAGATGAGTTGGTGAAAGATGGTCATGAAATAAACTAGAGGAGAAAACAAAAAGAAAAGGGAGAGGAAGAAAGGGATTCTGGAAATTTCTACATTTTTTTTCTTGAACAGTACAGAACTGGTATGTCACAGAAATCTAGATCTCATTTATCAGAACAGTCTCAATCAGCAAGAGAGGGAAGACTTAACCTCATTGATCAAGATCTAACTATACCAGTTGTCTTGTCTGTTAACTCTCGCAGATCTGTTCTTGCTATTCGGTCCCACGTTCCCTGGTATTAAACAAACACAAAACCCTCCTTGTGTTACACAAGCATGTTATACAAACCTCCATATTTTGGAGGTTATTTTACTTTGAGAAACTCCCAAGTGCTTTTAAGGAATTTTTTTTTTTTTTTTGCAGATGATCATGAAAGCGGAAGAGACTTACGAAACCATTCACTCTATCCTCCTCCCAAAGGAAGAACACTCCTTATAAGTCATCACACTTCCCAGGACTTCGCCCAACTTAGACTCAAAAGGCACAAGTAACAGGGGATCCAGTAATTCCCATGGGAAAATATGCAGCTTTACGCCGCCTCCCATCTCCCACATGGGTGGGGTGGGGTTCTGCTTATCTCTCCAGCTCAGAACCAACATCAGGCCATTTTCCTCCGGGCATCATTTACTATTCAAACATTCACAAAACAAAGGTAATCCTCATCCTCCTCCAGGGCCTGCCACAAAATCTGCCTTCCTTTCTAACTGAATTATTAAACTGTATATTTTAGGAATCACTGTGGTTAGTGGGCTGACCTCCTTTATCAAATACTTGTTCTGAAAGGATCTGTTCTTCTGAACAGGGTTAGCTGTCCAGTCAGCTGTCTCCGCACCTCTCTAGCTTTTACTAGTCACACTGGAAAACACATATTACTAGCTATTTGCATTCAATTGTTTTGTTTCTTTTTTTTATTCAATGTGTTGTACTTGTGATATTCCAAACCAAAACACATCACATGCTGTTTCCCATTCCTTCCTAATCATATGCTATATATTTATCATATCCTTGTTTAGGGCCTCATCACATTAATAAAATGGCTCAAACTCCTTAATGGGGGCAGAGAAGAATGTATTCCTATCATTACCGAGTGTCAACACACCCCCAAACTGTTCTTGTACTGGACACACGAGGATATGCTTGTATAAATAAATCAATCACACCCTGACATGCCATCAAATTAACCTGCTGATACAAAATAAATTCTTGTTATTAACGTGGAATAAACAATATTGCTAAATCAATTACCCTTTTCTTAATTACTATTTATTGTTTTGCTATTATATTGTCTCTAAACACTTTAACAATTCCATTGCGACGGGCTCTGTCAAAACACAAATCAGTTGATGACTCCAAAAATATTTACAAACAATTAACTTTTATTGTTAAGGTGTCCTCATGAGACAACAAGTAAATGGAAGAAACAAACATATTGAGAAGGAAAATTCAAGTGGTAACAGAAAAAGAAATCTTTTGCCTGGCTTTCTGTACTGGAAGCCGTTGCTTCCAACACAGCGTTGCTGTGCAGGTGGGATATGTGAGAAGGCTGGAACTTCTCCCAGGGCGGTCCCGCATCCCGAGCTCACCCCAGAGAGGGTCAGGACAAACCCGGAGCCCCCTCCCTTTCCAACGGCGGACGGAAGGCCCGCGCTCCTGATGAGAGACCGGTAAGGGCACCGGGGCGAGCATGCCCCGAGAGAGGGGTGAGGAACACCGCTCCCAGCACCTCACGCCCTCACAGCGCCGCCGTCGCCGGGGAGAGCAGCCGCGGTGACACAGCCCATGTGGCACGGAGGGCGGGCTGTCCCCGCCGCCGCCGCCCCGCAGGAGCCAGGCCCCCGGCCGGGCCTCGCCTCCCCTCAGCGTCCGGCCCCGCCGCCTAAGATGGCGGCCCCGCCTGCACCCACAATGCTCCGCGGCTCAGCCGCCGCGCTTCCGGGTGCGGGCCCAGGAGGGCGGCGGGCCCGGCACGGCGCCAGGGGCCGGGGAGGGTGAAGTTTCTCCGACCGGATGCGAACGAGCGGGCGGACGGAGCAGGAGGGAGCTGCGCCCGGACCATGAGGCTCCGACTGTGGCTGGTCCCTGCCCTGGTGTTGCTGTGGGGGCCGGGCGGGCTGGAGGCGCTGGGGCGCCCGCCGCGCCGGCAGCGCTACGGTGAGGGGCAGGGCGGGACCACGGGCAGCCGCGGGAGGGGGAGAGGGGTGAGGGAGAGAGCGCTGCCGGGGGACGGGCACCCCCACCTCTCCTTAAGGGGGCAGTGGGGAGAGGGCTGTGGGGCACGGTTGGCGCTCTGGGGCGCGGGGGGGCCTGTGGAGGGGCTGAGCGCCCGGCTGGAGGGCGGCCCGTGGCCGTGGGCAAGGCCGCGGCCTGCTCCCGTGGCCTGCTCCGGGTGGGTGTGTGCCGGGCAGCGCTGGGGGCCCTGGGGACCGTGTAGGCCCCGTCTTCTTCTGCTGCGGCGGTGGTCCCCCTCCAGCTGAAGGCATCACTGGTGGTGGGCGGTGTGTTTGGGGGTCGCTATGTTCTGTACAGGGGTGGTGAGACCACTCTGCCTTCACACCTGAGGTCCGCTGAGGAGTTTTCCTCACGGGAGTTTGCGTTATGTTAGGACAGGATAATCATATAAATGGCTTCCCTTCATAGTTCTGGTTGGAGAGTCACCACTGCAGAGAGAGCCTGAAGCTATTGCAGCTGAATGTGACTTCTAGTAAGCTTAGCACAGAGGAGAACCGTTGCTTTGTTTGACTTCCCTAAACTTGGTTTTGCATCAACAGTTTTACTTCTGAGTGAAGAAGTTGCGTATTTCGGTTCAATAAGCAAAAGCTTATCACTGAAATGGCAGATGAGCTCTCACAAGAGGCAGTAGTCACGTCCTACCCAGTCAGATGTCCTGTCTCCAGTTGGTGTGGACAGTGGTGACTGCTTCAAGTTCCCTTTTCTTTGCTTAGATGTCTCAGTAGATTTCCCAACAGGTGTCTAGGCTGTGCCTCTGTCCCCCTCTCCTGCACCTGAATTGTGGTTTTGTGCACACCTCTGCAGTTGGTGACTGCAGGAAGCTGTGAAGGAATAAGGAATTGGGCTCAGTGGTGGATGCTCCAGGAAGCGTAACAGAAACAGAACGAACGCAGCATGTCCTTTCAACGTCAGGCAGGTCAGGGAGCTCCTCAAACAGAGGTTGCGTCTTGGCCTGTCAGATTTTTATGTCTTCTAAAGTACCTCCTATGAATTTGTGTAATCTTCATCCATTAGGTTTTGCATTCTTGGCCTCCTTACCATCATGCCTGGACTGTGAGCTCTTCCATTTTATGAAATACTGCTTGGAGAAAAAGCTCCTTTCTTGTATTTCTAAACTTTGACTATTTCTTTTATCAGAAATGGTCAATATAAAAGAATTATTAATTTTCTTCACAACTTTAGTGACTTTTACAGACCTATGCAATTTGTCTCCTTTGTAATCTTTTTCTTCTCTTTTTTTAGTGGGAAAATCTTAGTCTATATAACAATTCTTACTATGGGAAAAAAATCCTGACTTTATTGGTCTTTGTTACTTTTGTCTATACACTTTCTATTTGTATTGGATTTTTATTTGAGGTGTATGACCAAGACTTCAAGGCAGTATTTGTCATGCAAAGGTACCATGGATTTATAACGATGAATGCTTTTGGTTTGTTTTCTTCCTGAGTGGTTTTTTCCGCCTTTTTTGTTGTTTAGTAGTCACTCCGAGATCTCTTTTTTTTTTTTTTTCTATTTTTGAGTGGTAACAACTATGTTGAATTTCATCAAACATTTTGTTCTGTCATTCAGTAAACGAAATATATAAAAGCGTTTTGTGAGGGACATTGAAAAATCCAGGTGTGCTCCATTGTGTTACATTTATCCACGCGCTTCATTCTCTCAGAATGCTAGTATATATGAGGCACTACTTCCCCAGTATCTTATTTAGCCACAGGTCTAGCGGTTCACGCTTTGTTGTTATTACTACCTGTTTGTCAGGCAGGGACATTGAGTGTATTTGTGATTAGGACCCTCGATGATACCTGGAGTGGAAACTGGTCCTGCACTTACCACCTCTCAGTCTACCTGCAGCAAGCCCAGTAGCACAGGATTTGCATACCATAATGAGTAGTTGACCAGTTTAATTTTTTTTCAGTGCTTTATAACTCTTGGGTTATTACATTCATGTCCTGTTTGCTTCTTGCTTGTTTTATTGGCTTGTTCTAAAGCCCCTTTTCTTGAGTCTGGGAGGCAGATCTTCAGATTCATCCTATCAGGACAAGCTCTACGGCATCATTTTAGTCTCCTTTGCAGTGAACACTAAGGTTGATTACTCTCTTACTTTTTGGTACTGGTCTTTAGCATCCATTCTTTGTCGTCTTTGCAGTTTGTTTTACAAGCCCCTTTGATTATTAGCTGGGTGGTTTCTTTTGATATAATAAAAGCTATTTCAGGTATTAGCTTTATGCCGTTTACAAGCTGCCCTTCAAATAACTTTGCCTGTACTGTGTTTTTATGTTCATCTTTTGCTATAGTTCTGTTGTCCTCATCTTGCACACAGCTTGATTTTCTAAAATATCTTCTTTTCCTTCTAATAACTTCAACTGTGCTATTTTGAGAGCTCTTCTAAACCACAGAGCTTGAGTTTTGTGAACTGAAATCAGATTTCTGGCAAGCAGTATCTTTAAGGAAGTTCCAAGGATTACCATTTTGTGATTTCTATGAAGAACTTCCTTGCTTGTTTCTCTAAAAGTTCAGTTTTTCAGGGAGGAAAAAAATGATTGTACAGTGAAAAATAGAATTTGACAAAAAGTAGAATAAGTAGATATAAAGACATGGGTCATTTCCCAGCATTTTTCAGCTGAAGCAATCTTAGGGTGTGGTGCTCTAGCAGTCTAAACTGATCTAAATTGGGACTGCCACAATCCTGGCCTCAGCTTTCTCATCCCTTCCCCATTCCTGTGAGCACATTCATGGAGCTAAGCCACCTGGAAGCTAAACACTTTTTTTTTTTTTCTTCCCAGTAAGGGGTAGGGTGTCTACATTTGGGTGTTTTCTGTTTGTGGAGTCAACTCCCTGGACTAGCGCATGGCGTGACTGTCCAAGTACCTGCCCTGTGTGTTGGGGGGTGGTAGGGGTTGTGCTCAAGGTGAGGGATGAAGGCAGGATGGGATCCACCTCAGTTTGTTGCCTTTAGATGATCTGGAAGCGGTGCTCTTTTTAATAACGTTCTCAGCAGGCATTAATTTCTGGGAGAAGTGCGACTGTAGTCAATGCAATGACTGTTGTTATAGTTTTGCTTCTGAAAAATTAATGTCAAGTCTTTTAAATTTTTTTCTTTCTATTGCTGTTTATCTCTGAATATAACCTTTTATAACTATTAAATATTAATGCTGTTTATCTTGGAGCTCAGACTTATCTGAATGATAACAAGATGTAATGTACTTGAGAAGAATAGCGGTGCAAATACTGAGTTTCACTGCTGTTGAACACATCACTGAATATCTCTAAAAAGCTGCTCAAATCTGTTTTACAACAGAGTGGTATTAGTAGTGTACTGCCACTAAGCAGCACACATCCAGGATTGCCCAGTAAAGAGTCGATATGTGAAATGTGTCTTACTCTACTGTTACCTGTTTCAAATGAGATCTTTTTATCACAAACTAGGCATGGAACTAAAAGAAATAAGATAGCTGTTCCTCTCCTGGGCAGATGATATTCTTTGAATCACTCACTGGTGGTCTTTCTACCTGCTATATTGCACTAATAAAATCTGAGGCAGGTAACCTGGAGCTGAATTGTTTCTCCTCCCTGCTGTTCAAACACCACACAGAACTCAAGAAGAAAAGAAATGGTCTATTATAAATAGTTTGGTACAAACCGACATAATACACATCAAAAGACTAGAATTTACGAGTTGTAGAGTGAAAAAAACGAGTGATGGTGGTGTTGATAAATAAACTGGGGGAGCTGAGCGATACAGAGGTCAGCATAAAAGCATTTGCAGTGAGTTTTGAATTCTACTTCCCCCTTGGTGTGACAAAGCACAGGAAGTCTGTAAGGTCAGGAACCTAACCAGCTGCCCAAGAGTTAAGGGGTGGGAGGTTTAGCGCGGTGTCAAGAGCGTGCAGCGAGCTAATTAGCAACAAAATCCTTATGCAAGATTAAATTTTGTCCTTCTGGACTGAAGCATCTGTTAGAGACTAAGGCAAGACCTAGATAAGGGCCAAGTGACTTATTTCCCGACTGTAGTCTGCCAGTTTTGTTACTGTTTCTTATCCCATTTTAAAATGCTTTTAAGCAAGATGACTGTTTTGGATTGAGCTGGGTTTGCAGTTTGACTCCGCAGGCTGAAGGCTGGGTGTGCATCTCGCCATGCACCACATGGAGGAGAATCCCAAGAACACACAGCCTGATAGCAGTATGTTGCAGAGTGCAATACCTGCCCGTGATGCTGTGGGATTATTTCAGAATCACTGCAGGAATTTATAGATGAAGTGTTTCCATAGGTGGTATTGTACGCCAAGTGGCAAAGATACAGTATTCTGTTCGCCTTGTCTCCATATAAGCAGCAAAGTCTTCATGTGGATGTACATTAACTACAAATTATCAGTGCAATTTTTGTGTTGTGGATTGGCAGTCTGTTCTTTGGAGGTACTTAATATCAAGGTTTTAAAGTACTTTCCTTGAGTTTATTTTCTTTTGGTCATGGGAATCAGTCCATGTTTCTATTTCCAACTGAAAAAAAAAGAAGAGAAAATATGATAAAAGTGTAATTCCTGAAAAAAGTACTCAAAGTCAACAAAGTGAAGAGTGTCAACACTAGATTAACTTCTAATTATTAAAATTATTATTCTAATTATTAAGAATTATTAAGAACACAATCAAGTGCTCAGTGTGAGTTTGGTTTTCAGTGCTGCCGATTTGGTTTGACCTCTAAGCAGCCAAAAAGGAAAATTCTCGTTTGCGTTTAAGTCTTGGGGTGGGTTTATCTTTCTTTCCCCTCACGGTAAAAGCTGAGAACTTCAGTGCTGCTGTTGGTTGCTGATAGCAGCAGTGACTCATCTCAGTTTCACGCTTCTGCTATTCTGCAAGTTTTTTGTCTGTGTGTGCGGGAGCCCCAGTGTGGGTTTCTGCTCTGTGGCTGGAGGAGCTGAGCGAGG